AGCCTTCATGGGGTAACAACAGTTTTTATCCTGCCTCCATGCACTGCCTCTCCTCTAACTCCCAGGCAGGTTTGTCTTCCATAGTCTTAGCATTAAGTATTGGAATTCTGTAAGGCTCCATCTTAAGCCCCCTCCTCTTCTCATACTTTGAGAGCTTCCAATATTATCTCTAGTGCAGACTTCTCACAAATTTTTATCACTGGCCTAGGCTTCTGCCCATTGGGCTCAATAGATCCTGCTGCCTGCTTGACATCTCTACTTTGATGACATCACACAAGCATTCTGATTCAGCGGATTCATACTCAAACTTAGTTTTCTTCTACCCTTCCTCTGTTCTCCCCCAAAATGCCCAGGCTCCCTTCCAGTGTCCCCCATCTCAATGAATGGCATTATTATTTATCCTGTTGTGTAAGTTATGAAATCTAAGAGGTATCCTGCGTACCTGCTTCTTCCCACTCTATCCATATATGCTATGTCGCCCCCATAGTCTGTCAACTTGGCTTCCTGAGCACTTGCAAACCTACCACCATAATCTAGCCTGTGTCCATCATCCTCTACCAAGTGTGCAAATAGTCCTCTGAGGCCTCTATCTAACTGCCTCTTGTCCCCCTCAGTCCGTTCACACAATAATCAATGTGACCTCTTATAAATCTGAAATGTTCATTCTCTCCTCTCCTCACCCACCCTAAAACTTAAACTCTTCATTGGCTTCACATTCTTCCTCGGAAAAAGGTCAAGCATACATGGGCCACATGACCTGGCCCCTGCCCTGTTCCCTACCATCCATCTTCCCCTCGCTCCCTCCATTCCTGCACCCTGGCCTCCTCTGTCCTTCAGATCTGGGCAGTGTCATTTCCTCTGGGAAGCTTTTTCTGATGACCTAATTTGATCAGACCCCAGTATCACTGCCCCAGGTGACTCACCATGGAAGCCCTTACTACAGTTACATCTTATAGTTAGTTGTGTGACTATGTGATTATTGACTGTCTCCCCAGCCCCTTCTAGTCTTTAAGTTCCAGAAGGGAAGGGACTTGATCTGTTTTTGCTCATCACTGTGTCCCAGTGTCTAACGCAGAACCTGGCCCAGAACTGGCACTCAAACAATTTGTGAAATGAAACAATAAATTTATATTTGATTATGGCTGAGTACATAGCATTTCTTTTTTCTTCTTCTTCTTCTTTTTTCTTTTTGAGAATGGGTCTGGGTGGAAATGAGATAGAGCAAGACTGATGGCATAATTTCAGGGACACAAGAAGGGGAGGGTCCAGGAGGCAGAGTGGAGACAGAACTCCAACGTTGTCTCCTTCAGTTTTGCTGTGCACTCAGCTCTACTTCCACATGTATACTGACCTGGTCGACTCTCTGGAGGGCTGAGCTGGGATGCTGCAAGAATCTGTAGTGCCTTCTGAACTGCCGTGAAAGTCTAAATCATCTCCAACTCACATCATTTTGAGGACATTTTATTATAGTCCAGCTCCTGAAAATTGTGGATCCCATTTTAACATGCAAATTTTAATCACTGTTGTATGCCTCTAAGGTGAGAGCTCCTTAAGAACTGTTGGTGCTCAGTCCTCAATGGGGCCCTTTGTAGATGCGAGATAAATTGGTGGATAGAAGGAGGAAAACAAAAGTTGGAATTCTTACGACTTGGTGATCTCATCCAGGGCTCTCAAACTCAAAGGCCCACAGGGGCCAGGAATGATTGGAAGGGAAGAAAGCAGGACAGATGTCAGTGTACTCACACATTTTATCTGTGTGAATACTGGGGACTGGGCTATCAGGAGCGCACCCACCCTCTCTAAAGGCATTCGGGGGGGAATTCTAACATCTGAGCATGCTAACTAAGGAGGACTTGAAGAGTAGAATCCAGCCCAGCAGATATCAGTTTGTAGCTTCTGACTAGTAAGGTATTATGGTTGTGGTAGTTAGAATATCAGTCCCCCAAAAGATGTCCATGTTATAATCCCCAAACCAATGAATGTGTAACCTTTGATGGCAAAAGAGACTTTTCAGCTGGGATTAAGTTAAGGATCTTGAGATTATCCTGTATTACCTGCGTGAGACCAGTGTAATTGGAGGGGTCCTTCTAAGAGTACGCAGGAGGGTCAAAGTCAGAGAGAGGCTGAAAGTGCTACTCTGCTGGTTTGGAAAAGGCACAGGGGATGCAGCAAGGCTCTTAAAACTGAAAAAAGCAAGGGAACAGATTCTCCCCTTCTTCCAGAAGGAACACACTTCTGTTAGCTTGAGATTTCAGCCCAACGAAATGCATTGGACTTCCGACCACCAGGACTGTAATATAATAAATTTGTGTTGTTTTAAGCCACTAAATCTGTGCTAATTTGTTACAGCAGCAATAGGAAGCTAATACACTAGTTAAGAATATTCAACCCCGGTTCATGTGGCTCAGTAAATTGAGTGCTGGCCTGCAAACCAAACAGTCGCCAATTCAATTCCTAGTCAAGACGCATGCCTGGGTTGTGGGCCAGGTCCCCAGTAGGGTGAATGTGAGAGGCAACCACACATTGATGTTTCTCTCTCTCCCTTCCCCTCTCTCTAAAAATAAATAGATAAAATCTTTTTAAAAAGGGGAAAAGAATATTTAGACTACAGAAACAGAATGCCTGGATTTAAGTCCTGGCTCTGTCATGTGCTAGCTGTGTGACCTGGGGTAAGATATGCAAATTTCTATGCCTCAGTTTTCCCATTTGTACAATGGAAATGATGGTGCATACTACCTCAAAGGGCTACTATGAAGATTAAATGAATTAGCATGCATGCATGCAGTTCTTAAAAGCATGCCTGAACATTTTAGGCATTGAATCAGCATTAGCTTATTAAATTACTATTTACTGTTCGCAGAAATAAAGAGCATAGGCCCAGCAGCATCCAACACTTTGTCCAAGGAAAATAGGCTCAGAGCAGAACCAGAACTAGAACTCAGACCCCCCTAACTTCTGTGCTGTTTAACACTTTGTCATTGCAATGCCACAATGTCATTTTCCTACTGAATCTCATTTTCGAAGGCAAAACAAGTAGTTATAGCACATGGCCTTCCGATGGGCTTAGCTACATTTTATAGCTATGATTAGCCTTGAGGCTCTCAGACCCTTTCAAGAGAAATGAAACATAACTAAAGGTGGTCCTCATTAGAAATCATGTGTGTTTGACTTAAAGCCTGCCTAATTAATAGAATTTTCTCTGGTTATAATTGAGTCACTCATTGTTTTGTCCCCTCCAAACATAACCCACAGGAAAAACAAAAAGCCAGACAGAACCAGGCAAATGCATCTGATAATGGAACAGATGGGCTGCTCTGCACAAGCCAGTGAGCGAATTCTGCAGCCCTTTCTGAGCATGAGACTCCAAAACACTGGCCCAACTTCCAAGATGCATGCTCTGCCTTGAATCTGGAGGGCTTGTTCAAAACATACTGTCCCCAAAACCCTAGCTTTATTTAACACCTGGGTTTTACAAAACGGGCTCACCAAGGTAGCTGTGCATCCCTATAAAAGAAACAAGTGTTCTTGGGGAAAATAAATTGAAAGGTGAGGTAAAGCCCCTGAGAAGCTCACTCTGAGTGGAGTCAGTGGCTGCATTCCAGACCTATGACACCAGTTCGCTCAGTTGTGTGATCTCAAGTTTCCTCCTACAGCATGAGAATGCTAGTTCAGAAAGGACTTCAAGACTGCTGTGTCCAAATTTAGAACCTCCAATATTGTGAATTTCCAAATGTGCAGCCATAAACTTAAAATACTCTGAAATACAATTTCTAGCAGTTTCCAGACTGCTGACCAAAAATTCTTTCTCTGGCACTGAAACCCATTCCTAGCCGTCCGCAGCAGTGTGTGGCAATACTGGGGTATCACAGAGTCTATTGTTTGCAGGCCCAGTGCAATGAAAAGAACTGCAAGTGACAAGATTGAATTTAAAATGTTTACACTTACGTCTAGGTCTTTCTTCAGATTCCATGAGGTAAAGATCTTGCCAACTCTAGACAGTAGAACTTGCCAACACTTGGAGAGGGACTAGAATCTTTACTACGAGGAGAGTGCTCCTTTCTACCCTGTAGGTCCCCCTGGAAGACTTCAAGAAACCTCAAACGCCTCCCACAGTTGTCTAACATATCGCATCCCAACGGGTGATGCAGAATACTGAATGATTGCAGGGTTGTTAAATAATTTCCAAGAGCTTCAAACCTATGGATACCTGTGTGAATGCTGGGGCCCACGGTGTTTGCTTTGACTTTCCCTGGAGCCGCACACTGGCATGCAAGCACGGAGTTCTTCCCTTTGGTGCCCTTCCCATTCACTCGTGACTTCTGTCACTATGTGGGGCCCGCCCAGGGTCTGTCCCCACACCCCTGCTGTTGCATCATAGTGAGTTCATGTCCTTGCTGTGTTTCACTTGTTACAACTAAGTTACGTGCCCATGCCTGGCAATAGAAGTGTCACTTCTGTTCCTGTACATTTCTCATTCCACATCTAATAAGGCTGGGTGGCGATGGGTGGGGACAAGAAGAGTAGTTATTGTTCTTTGCAGACAGACAAGCTTTCTCGCTCCTCCCTGGGGCCATGGGCCTCATTCTATTCTAACTGGGTCTGCACAGACAGGGCAGGAAGCGAGCCCTAGCCTCAGGGTTGAGAGAGAAAGGCAGAGGCCAAGGTCCCCAAGTGAGGAGGCCACAAGGAAAGAAAGGAACTTCTGTGAAGAGAAGTCTACTTGCCTGGAGGCAGTGGAGGAGAGGGCTGGGGAGGGGCCTGCGGGGAGGAAAGAGGAGGGTCAGCTTCGTGGGACATGACGTGAGGTGCCTTGCCTTTCCTGGGGTTGAAATTGAGGAACTGAGGAGGCGTCGGTGGCCACAGTCAGTCTTTCAGAGCCCAGGATGGAACGAGAAGTCCAGCCACTGGCTCCATCTCATGCATCTACCAGGGCCAGAGGGATTAATGACCCAAGGAGGATATGATATGGTCCAGAAACTTTTCCTGGATTTTTTCCGCAGGCGTCTGAGCCAGAGGCCGACTGCAGAGGAATTGGAGCAAAGGAACATTTTGAAACGTAAGTGACTAAGCCCATGGCAATTCCTGATGTGTTTGTGGTGGTTTCATTTATGATTTAATGTAGGCTACAAGGTCTGTCCCTTGTGCCTGTGTGGAAATGACTGAGAACGCCTCTGACAGCTGAGGCTTCATCCGTGTGTGTCAGAGCCTCCCGGACGAGCCCCCCGTAGACAGGGCTGATTCTAACCCACAGGGCTCTTTCCCAGCTGCAGACTGTCCCACCACCTTTACTGTAGAGGGCTGTAGAGTCAGAGAAAGCCGAAAATTCACTGTGAGAGAACTTAAGTATTCAATGATTTTGAGGAGAGTTAGCATCACCTTTAATCCAGAATTGGCTTGAAAACTGCCAAAACTACACTGAAGACAAAATAGCCGTTTGAAACCTGGGGCTAGAACACGTCACTTTCCATTGCAGCTGGCTGCAGTTGATCAGATCCCTCTGCCTCTGAACACTCAAGCTAAAGTCCAGGAAAGCATTTCCAAGAAAAAACGCTTTGCGTTCCTCTCTCAGGACCCCCCAGCTGGCTGCTGGTGTGCCTGCCTAATGCTCTCACTCCAGAAAAACTGTCACTGAGGACAGAAAAAATAAATGAGGCCCTTGTTTGGTTTAGGACCAAGATATTTGAACATGTACAGAGAATCTAGGCGGTGCTTAAAATACACAGGGGTGGGCAAAAGTAGGTTTACAGTTTTAATACAAATAAATACAGTAATTAACTGCTAATAATACAAGAATGAACTGTGTTTCATGTACTCACAACTATAAACCTACTTTTGCCCACCTCTGTGTGTATATATATATATATATATATATATATATATATATATATCAAATGCTAAAAGAAATCAAGCATCTCATGGATACCAGTATGTCTCAGTTTAAGGGGAGATATTGAATAATTAAAAAGGAAAACCTCTGCTCACATCCTGCTCAGAGCTCTGTCAAGACCACTGCTCTCACCGCTCTCACCGCCACTTACACAAGATGGTCAACACATAATAGTTTTATAGTTTAATTCACGCTCCTGTCTTCCCATGTGCACATCCCTTTCTAATTTCTCTCCAGAAAAAGGAAGTAGATGCTATGCAGAATTTCACAGAAATGCCATGCTGTGCCTGTGTGCCCCAGACACACAAGCACACGCGCACGCGACCACATGCCCCAATCACGCGAAACCTCAGTTTGCATGGGTGTGTATTTCCACTTAGACCAAACTCAAGTGTTCTTGGTTTTACTTCTCTGCCCTTCCTCACTGCGGTCTTGTGACCCGATCAGCATGGGAGGTCACTCAGGGCAGGCTGCTGAATGTCCCCTGGGGAGGCTGCGGGGGGGAGGGGTGTGCGGGGGGAGGCCCTCCAGAGCCCCCCTGCCCCTGCGTGATGTGTGCTCTCACCAACACCCTGCCTCCCTGCACCGGGCGGGCCACTATCTCCGCTCTCTCAGTGGGTGCTCTTTTTAGGACTGGCCTTCCTCCGTCTTGCGTGCACCTCACATGTTTCCTAGGACTCTAGGAATCGATGTATATATTTTTTAACCAAGGGTGCTCATTATAGTTTCTAAGCTTAAGATGCTGTAAAATAGAGTTAGCACTTTCTTAGATGAGTTCCATGGTCAAGGAGCGCTTGGCCTGTGTGAGGCCTCCTTTTCTGCCCCATCCTGATACCTGATCTATGATAAACTCTCCTTTGTCAGAGAGAAAGAAAAACAGAAAGTGCCAATTTATTCCTAAAATCACAAATTAGGTAAACATGCTTCCTTCTCCATCTACCTCTTCACCCCCACCCACAGGCCTAACACAGACCTGTTGTCTTCTGAAGGAATCTCTGAACTAGGGCCAGTCTGTACTTGTGGTGTCCAACCTGACTCCTAAACTCAAAGAAGCAAAAAACTTCCAGGGGATTGTTCAGGTTTTGGAAAATAGTTCTCACAACAAAAACGGGTTTTGGAAAGAAGGACTATCAAATCCCCAGTTCACCTAGCTTACATGGGTCCCTGGGAGATCACGGCTGGCCCTTGCATTGGGTTTTTATTTCTGCCCAGAAAAATACTCAAATCCTAGAGACAGTTGAGTAAGCCTGGGGGTCTTAGATCCAGGAGACCAAAGAGACTTAAAAGATTATTTCCATGTTTCCTTCTATTTCCTCTTCTTATCCCGTTCAAATAGCTGCAAATTCAAGAACTACTTGAGTGGATCCAACTTGATCATTTCACAATTCCAAACCTTTTTGGAAATAAACTCATTTTTCCTGTTGGTTCTTATTCTTTCCCTGCGTCCTGGAACATTGTTTTCCTAACTATGTTTTTCTTTTTTATTTTCCCAATCTGATTGTGAAACAAATTTTTAGTGGGCTAAGAAAGCACCCTCAAACAAATTGTTCTAAAACTTCCTGAGCTCTCAATCATTTGCAACACCACCTCGCTGGGGCACCTGGAGAAGGTGCACAGAGACGTCAGGCTCTGTGGTGAGCCGGAGTCTGGGTCTGCCTGCCAGCCCCACCCCGCTGGCCCTGTGGACAGGGCTTGCTTTGTTCAGCGCCCAGGGAGGCACCGTGCACATCTGAGCACATAATGAGCGCACTCTGATGGAGGCAGCAGGCGATGACATCGTAGGCCTTTCCTGGCCTCTCTTCCCACTTGCCCAATGGGGTTGTCTTGGTTCCACTGGCCTGAGAAAACATACCCTGGGTTTGTCAATGGCTTTGAACTACAGGTATAGATTCCATAGATGGCCTCGGGGCCCCACCCCTGAGAGGGACCTAAGAAATGCACATAGGAGATGATGGTTCCGTGCTGTGACACAGAATGCCATTCATGGCATGGAAAGGGGCCTGCAGCGTGAGAAATCCCCGAAGAGAGTCTGAGGCCAGTAACCAGGAGTGAGGAGGAGGAGGGCCAGCTCCACGCAAAAGGTGGCAGGGGAAGAGGCATGTCTTCTAGTGAGAAAAATAGAGCTGGGCTGTTTGTCTGACTAATTAGCTGTGTGTGGTGTGAGCAGCCACTTAACTCCCCTGGGCTTTCACATCCTCATTTACAAACTGAGAGTGGCACACTAGGTGGCCTCTTAGGCCCCTCGTAACCTCAATGTTCCGTGAGCTTGTGCAGCTTAGCCACGTGCCATGAGCTGCCTCCTAGGCACCCACCATGCAGACTGGACCTTCCCTCCCTCCCTCCCACCTGCGGACGTGGCTGTCTGGGTGCTCCCCTTCTTCTGGGTCTGGCCGTCTGCCTCCCATCTTATTTGTCTCTGATAGATTAGTTCATATTAAGATATTAATGGCTGACTAGTTTAATGGGCTTTTATCTGAAAAAAAAATTTACATTTTTCAAGGAACTCTGAGAGGGAGATAGGATCTTTCAACCCAAAGGAAGGCGCTCCTGCATGGGTGGTTTGGGACCCTGTGGGGCAGGGCGCAGTGGGGACCTCTGGTGACCTCGGCCCACAGTAAGCCGTGGGCATTTCGGACAAGATCCTGATCCCCACGGGCAGCCAAACCATGCCCCTGGGGCTGTCGCTCGAGGGCCTGAGTTCTGCTCTGACCTGTGTTCCCCTTCCAGCGGGAGGGGAGGCCGCCTTCGGCGGGAGTTGGCTGTGGCTGCGGTTCCTGCTGTCAGGGCTGATGAGGAAGGGCAGGGTGGGACCCCGCTTCCATGCACAGCGGCTTCCCTCTTTTAAAGGTCTGCCCTGTACTGAGACAACTGAATGGCAAGTGTGCACTGACATGATATATCAACTTAGTAATTGACACATAGCTTAACACTAGTGATTTCACAAGGAGAGAACAAGTGCCCGGGGTACTCCTGGCGTGCCCTGCACCAACATCAGCTGGAGGAGCTGCCGTTCACTCATGCCGTCCTAAATCCAGTGGGTGAGAACCAGGGACCTTCTTGGACTTCCATGGTTTTAGACAATGTTATTCCTGTAGCCATGCTTCCATTCCAAGGCCTGGAAGGCAACTGATGTACCCAGGTTGTTCGGTTATCTCGAAAGGAGGAATAAGCCCACGTTCTCTGCCCTCCACATCTCTGCTCCCTTCCCCAGACCCTCCTACCTGCGGCCCTCTAAACATCAGATGAATAAGTCATCCCACATATTAAGCTGACAACATTTAGGCTCTGGACTCTGTTCGTCTGAGACGGTCCTTAAAAGTCTAAACGCAGGCAATTGTGCCCCACACTCTGGCCTCACACATGCTCAGTGGACTTCTTGGAAGATTCAAAGAATTCATGGAGTCAGGGCTTGCGAAAGGTGAGCGTTTTGAAATTCCTCTCTGTGCAGCCAGACTTGTGTTTGGCATTAGCCATACCTCGCTGTGTCCGGACAGGTGACAGGCACCCCGTGGGGCCGGCCTTGGGTTCTACTCTGCACAGTGCACCAGACACAAGGGCCACATCACAATGAGCCCCTGCAGTCACTGTGAGGCTTGAGGCAGAGTGGAAGGAGGCCCAAGACTTGGCCAAAGAAGGGAGCCGTGCCTCTCCCCAAGCGCCCCGTCACTGGTGGCGCATCCCCGCTGCTCTAGGACCTCCCTCCTTGCCTCGGAAGCCACCCTTCTCACCCTGCGTTTCTGCCTCGGAGACCCGAAACCCGTGTGACAGAAAGAAACCAAAATAAGATGGTCAGCCTGCTCACCACCACCTTGAAACGATGCAGGCAGTTTGGAAAGTGCCCCCAAAGGCAGAAGTATGGCCAGGGTAGGATACTTTCTCTTCCCCTTTCCACATTGTGAGGTGCTCAGCCTAGAGCAGCAAAGGTTCAGAGTAAGCTCCTGCGTGCAACACTGTTTACAAAATCAAAAGCATCTTCAATGTTTCTTTCAGCTCGGAATGAACAAGAGGAACAAGAGGAGAAAAGAGAGATCAAGAGGAGGCTAACTCGAAAGGTGAGAAAACTCTCCACCGAGAGCTGGGAGGGGGCGGGGGGTGCTTTCCACTCCCGTGTCCCCTGCTGGTCCCAGTGGCCTCACAGCTGCCCGTCCCCTTGGAAGCGACGTTTGTGCTTCCACGTCTCGCTGTCAGCATGCAGCTGCCTTGACTCTACAGGACCTTTCCAGGGGACCGTGGTCAACTCATCTGCATGACCTTCAGTCCTTTTGTCTGGTGACATTCAATGTTGCTTGATTTTGTGACCCTCACCTTCCCCCAAGCAATTTGATGTCAAGTGCATTATATTTGCAATTACAGTGCACATTTTATTTTTAAAAATCTACTGTTATCCCATCAAGCATTTGGAAACTCATTGTCAAAATTGGTAGTACAAATACAAGTTATTTGCTATGACCTTGGGAACATATGAGTTTTCCTTGCCTTCCCTGAGACTTTTCCCTACATATTAGTGAAGAACTATTTGACTTTATTATGCTAACTCCTATTTTGAGTATTGAATTAGGAAAAATCTTAAAGTACTGATAAATATTTTGAAGATGTTTGAAAAACACTTAGGGAAAAAAAGCCATAAAGCTGAAATTTTTATGTTTTTCACATCCAAAATAGATGGCTTGGCAATGCATTATAGACCCAAATGGATTTAATTCTACCTGAGTGTCCTTTTTAATAATAAACTCTTATTTGAGGCTATTCTTGGATGATGTTGACAAGTTTAATTAATTGATGACACACAAGATGTAATATTATATCCTATCTGAAGAGAGTGGTTTTAATCAGCCTCCTATAGTGATCATCTTAAGAGAAAGATTCTCAAATCTCAGACAGTTGAGAGTCCCATTAAAATTATTTTTTAAAGGTTTATTAACAGGTTTTTCTCCCTAGAAATACTACACAAAGGCAGAAATTCAAAGATCCTAAAATATCCTACCAATTATTAAGGTGATGACTTCTGTTTCTCTACACTCTCCCTTAGAGCATCCCAAACTTCGGGTGACAAGCCAAATGCCGTCCCAGTCAAAAGGGGCAGGATAAACAAGGGCCTGAAAGGCCAATGACAGGCCAGTGTCCCCGTGGTGGGAACCAGGACAAGAGCTATGTGACCTCTCTTCAGCCAGGTGCCCTCACCCCAATCACGGTCTGATTCTTTACATCCGTAAGGCCACCCAGTCGGTGGACGTGGGGCACCCTTTGCCCTGAGACTGAGTAGTGAGGAGGATGGGGGCGGGGAAGGGAGACGCATAAGCGTGTTCTAAGTGTGACCTTGAAATGACTGTGCTATCATACAGAGGCTCATTTCAGATACACAAAGGTCGAGAGACATTCAGAAAAATTTTTAAATCCAGTTTTCATAAAGTTCACCGGAGTTGATTGCCAGGACCTAAGAATTCTCCTGAACTCTAGAGTTTCTAAACACTAGCGTAAGGGAAATACTTAAACATCCATCTAATTCTTATCTCTTTAAAAAAGAGTATATAATTTTGTGGAGGAAAACTTGACTAACTGCATAGCCCGGCAGGAGGAGGGTGCTGCCCACACCCATGCCTTGAGGGCATTGCCCCAGGGACAAGCACCTCAGTGAGGCCAACTTTTCCGTTGGTCTCCAAGGCAAGATAAATAAATGCCTCTCCCTCTTGGTTTCCTGCCCCTCCTCCTGCCAGGAACACTGCCTTGCAATTTCAGCATTTCCCTCCCCAGGGACTGGCTTGGGAAATTAGAAATAATGAGCTTGAGTAGGGGGTGGGGAGGTCACTGTTTTAAGGGAGAGACTAGAAGAAGCTTTCACTTCTCTCTTTGTTGGCAGAGCTGCGAGCCTGCCAGCAGGTAGGGAACCCACCACCTGCTGGCTCCGGGCAAGTTCTTTTTCTCATGGGCCTTTGTCACACCAAGACCAGATGCCAGTGAAGGCAGCTACCTTTCAGTAACTTACCCTCTGCCCAAGGATTCCCTCAATGCAGTTCTATTTAATTTTAATGTTCTAGGGAGAAAAATAGAATAGTCACTGATGCTGATAGCAACAGACCAGTCATTTTCTTCAGCAAAATTTATACTCTCCTAAAAATTATGTTTTGTCTTTTAGTAAAGGCCTGCCTCCCCTTCCAAAGGAAAAAAAAAATGCTAGCTAGCTAAATGGATAGATGAATGGGAAGAAATCAGGAAGGAAAGGAGGGAAGGAGGGAGGGAGGGAGAGAGGGAGGGAGAAAGGGAGGGAGGGAGGAAATCCACTTGGGTCAGGTTATATTAATACTGAAATTTGGGTCTCAACTAATTGCTCTTTGTTGAGTACTTGTTTGCAAATTATATTGCTGCCATAGATTGACACATAGGGCTACCAACCCCTGCTCCCGACCTCTTCTTCCAGTCCATCATGCCTAGAAAATCAACTTTGGCCACCAAGATTGTTTCCTGAGCATCTGAGAAGGGGCCTCGGGTTCATATGCCCCACGGCTACAACCAGCCACAAGCTTCAGGGACATCTCCTGAGCCCCACATGGCAGGGGTAGGAGCCCACGCTCCCATGCAGTCCCCGCGGCCATTGGTCAGTCGGCCCACTCACCACCTGGGCCTCTCCCAGCAGGAGTGGGTCCCCTCCTCGCTCCCTCCCTCAGCACAGGGGCAAAGGCCTCATTGACCTGGGGAGCTCGTGTCTAAGGTCCCAAGGGATTCTGGCATGAAAAATTGTCCCTGACCTTCAGAGCTGACAGTTTTCTGTTCACTCCAGACTCTGCCATCAACAGGCTATTAGTAAAACCCAGGTCATGATTTCCAGAAAATAATACCTTTTGTCCAACACACTGGGGTAAACCTTGCTAGTCCTAAACAACACGAACTGGGGGTTTTGAGTAGGAATCCTTTTTTATCTGGGGTAAATATGGTAAACATTAAATGGTTTTGTGTATTTTAATGGTAGAACAAAAGCTCCCTACACTCACATTCTAGAGTCAGGCCAGACCTCCATTTTTGTTTACAAAAACCCCAGCTGTGGAGCCTGGGAGGCCTGTGGTTTCCTGCAACCGGCCAGCACTGGTGCCGAGACGTCCCATCCCAGGAAAGCCAGGGCTGCCTCAGGATAGACCAAAGCCACCTTGAGGGGGAGCCACAAGCGGTCCAGGCCGGCGGGCGGGCCCTGCCAGGGCCCCAGAGGCCTCTGATCCCCAGATCTTCCCACCAGTGGCCGAGAGCACGTGGCCAGCTGCCTTGGTCCTGCCCTAAGCCTCTCCAAACCCATCACCATCCTAGTTAAAACCAACCAGGCAGGCACCTAATGATGCTTCTTGCTGGAGGCCCAAGGGCAGCAGGGTGGAGCATTCTGACACCAGCCAAGGCGTGGCAGGTGCATAGTAAGACAGGGTGTTTGGATTCCCTTGTGTGTGTTTGTTTTATCAGCCTTTGTGGTAAGATTCTATCTGACCACATTTTCTATTAATAGAATTAAATACAGTCTAAGGCATGGAGGAAAAATTGCTTTTAAATAATGTTGGTTAAACATGAATTGCTTTTAGATAATATCAATCAAACATGAATTGACAACATCCTAAAGAGAGGGCGGTCATGTTGCTCCAGAAGAAACCCATCTAGTGACAGGAAGAGAGAACAGAAACATCAGCCTTATGTTGTTAAAGTACAAAAAAGGGCACTAGTGGGAGACATAGGGAGATAGTTAAGTAAATTCGCATCCTCTTTTTACGTGCTTCATTCCCTCACCACAGACCCATCCAGAGGCCCGTCCTCAGGCTTCCTTGGCATAAACACAGCCCAGCTCTGCCTCAGTGGGCTGACCTTTCATTTGAACTTCTCGAGGAGCAGAGTCTCCAAATTCCCACTCTGGCATAACCCAGAGCTTGCATGTACACTTTTTTGTGTCTAAAACATACATCTAAAACATGATTTGCAAACCCATCTTTCAGAGAGCACTACATTTGACACACAGATGTAGATCCACAAATCGAACATAAGACAAAACCTTTGTGTAAGATTCCTGTCATCTGGTGCGAGAAGCAAGACAGATGTGGAAACATCCTCAACAGACACCCACACTCAGAGATGGACCAGCTGCTTGCAAAGGCCGAGACACCGCAGTGTTTCTAAGGAAGAGACAGCCAGACTGTCCACCTGGATGGGCTAGAAAGCAGCTCAAGAAATAGCATCTCTCCCTCTCCTTCTCTCAGTTCTAGAAAAGTCCTGGGTGCAGGAGTCAGGAGCCCCGGGTCTCCACCCGGCCCCGGCCCTCCCTCTCTGTGTGATGTGTCAGTTGCCTTTCTGAGCCTCATCTGTAACACCTATAAATCCACAAACAGTTCTAAACTTCTCTGGTTGACTGCGTCCAACTCTCTTCCTCCTGCAGCTCAGCCAAAGGCCCACAGTGGAAGAACTTCGGGAAAGAAAGATCCTCATCCGCTTCAGCGACTATGTGGAGGTGGCTGATGCTCAGGACTATGACCGCAGGGCCGACAAGCCATGGACCCGCCTCACTGCTGCCGACAAAGTAAGCAGAGGGGCAAGGAGAGGGGTAGCAGGTACCCGCACCTTGGTTTTGCCCCTAGACTGGGCTTCTTGCTTGCTGCCTGGGATGCTGTACTGAAACCAACAGCAAAGCCACGGTCATGGTCCCGGCAATGGAGCACTCTGTGCCCGCTGAGCAGGCAGAGAGTCCCATTGCCCCAGAACCTTTCCCCAGGCTCCAGATAATCTGCAGAGGTCACCAAATTGATTCTTCACTGCTCTGGAGAAGGCACAAAATGGGCACATACACTGTGCTGCTTTACAGAAGGAAAAGGAGTGTGGGAGGCTGTGCCCAGAGAAAAGAATAGCACCTGGGCGGGCACAGAGCAGCTCAAGAGCAGGAGGCTCCAAGCTCACTGCAGACGTTCAGTGTGGAGGGCGCTGTCCTCAGCGCCCAACGGGGGAGTCACAAAACCAAAAGGGAACCAAGTCACTGTGCTTGCAGTTCTTGTAACCTAATGGCAAAAACCAGACACAAAGCACAGACCACAAAACATGCCTTGCTACACGAAACCCTCATTGATTTGGAAAACAAAAAGAACAACAGTAATCTGAAGTTGAGTTTGTTTTCAAAGAAATGCAGGGAGGCGAATGATAAGTCATTCTCACCTGTCCATTAGGCTCTGTGTTACCATGAAACTCTGCTTGGATTTGTGATTCTAGTCCAGTCATCATGGGGAAATGGGGGGCTAAAGACCTTTTTAAAAAAAAACAGTCTAAAATAATGACTGTCCAATGTACACATGACAACAGGTAACTCTGGGGTACACTGCATCTTCTCCTAAAGAGTCCTGCCTTCTTGGCCCCATACTTCTCGAAGCCAGTGGCTTCTTTACATGCCAGACAGGCGGACGTCAGTACAGCCCGGACTCTGGCTGGATCAAGGAATTGCAGAGAAGCGGAGGGAAGCTGCTGCATTTGGGGGACACTGGCATGGCCAGAGGCACAGACCTCCCAGAAATGGCCTCCCAAGTAGGGGAGTCAACACAGGCCCCGATGAGTGGAAAACTGCCCCCTTCTTACACACAGCACTCGTCTCTGCCCTGTACAGGAATTCATGGCGCACGCCCCCAGGAACTGGCACAGACACAACCAGCCCCTGACGCAGTTGTGTCTGTCGTGCCAACAGCAGAGGGCCCTGGCCCTCGTCCTCTTGCCCACACTCGTGCTGCAGCGTGCTTGCTTACCGAGCGTAAGGGTCTTGCAGATGCCACAAGAAAGTGCAAGGCGACTGCACATGCACATGCCCAAGCTCTGAGGAACCGTTAGGTGGGGAACGTATCCAGTTCCTCCCAGGCTGCTGGGGACAGAAGCACAAGACCCAGTGCCTTCCAGAAGCTTATAAGCTGGCAGTTAAACACTAGTGTGCTTACTTTCCCTAAGGGGAGCCTGTCTGATGCTACCTAAAGGCTTTTCCACCCTCAAACTCTTGCTGCTGTGATATTCCCACCAAAGCAAGTTATCAGTCTCAGAAAGAGCTCTACAAAAGGGCACGTGTTTAAACTTTCAGCCCCTGGGGAAGGAATGAAGTTTCCTCCAACCCTAGGCATCCTTGTATTCCAGACCCTCCTCACCTGCCTTCGCAGCCAGCCAGGTCAGTGGGCAGTGCTGTAAGATCGAGGTTCTTCACGTTCATCTCAGACTATGCTAAGGTTATTCAAGACATCTCATATACCCGTAATGTGAAAAATATTATCTTAGCGTCAAGCAAGTCATGAAAGAGCGGAGTCTTTATAGATCAAAGGGACCTGGGGGTGTAGGGTGCGAGGGTCCTCACGCCTTCTAGAAATATCCGTCGGGAGGCATTGCTGTGGCTGAGATGAGTTAAGACGGTGTACCTGAGGAAGAAGAGCGGTTGACATTGAAACGTGTGCCTGGGAGCCCAGGAGGGTGGGGCAGGTGCACATGCACTGTGGGTGTCTGGAAGAAACAGCCCGGTGACGAGAGGAAGGAAGAGATGTTCTGGGCAAGACTGCATACGAAATCATTTGCAATTTAAATTTAAGGGTATGGGGAGCCTTAGTAGGTTCTAAAGGATACCTCAGGTGATTTTTTTCTACCCCAGTGAAAGAATGCATTTTGTATGGCTTTGTCAAAGGAAAAAAAGATATTGTTAGAAATGAAATAAAAAGTGAACTTCCCATCTGCCTCCTCTGCATACTCATGGCCTCTCTTCTTCCAGGCTGCCATTCGAAAGGAACTCAATGAGTTTAAAAGTACTGAAATGGAAGTTCACGAATTGAGTAGACATCTAACAAGGTTGGTATCAATTGTGGTTCTCCCCCCTCAAATGGTAACATTTACTTCCAAACAACCTGTCTGTTTCTGGATCACAGGCGGTGTGATGGGTGCCGTGAAGGGGAAGATGAAGAAAGGTTAGCATTTGGTCCCCACTGCAATTACTGAAACTAGGGGAAGGGGCATTAAAGGCCCAGCCTAAAAGCCACCTTCTGAGAGCCTAGGTGTTTTTACAAAAACTTAAGCTGAGGAGAAAAGATCAGTGTCAACTCTCAGCCAGTCAGGAGAGGCCAAACCTGGTTCACTTCTCGGATTCCATGTCATCCTGTCTGGTGGTCCTATGTGGTAATAATGCTTGGAAAAACTGAACACAGAGAGATTGGCAGGTCTTATATAAGGTCACTTGGCTAGTCAGTGACAGAGCCATTGACAATCCTTATGACACCCTCCTTTGGGGAACCTTTAGAGAAACTGTGCCTGGGCTTGGAGACACGCAGTCAAGTTCTCCGCCTCACTGCTGAGTCGGGGCTGGGGACTGCAGGGCCATCTGATTAGTCCCTAGGTGTCCAGGTTAAACTGTTTCAAACCTGAAGGTGAATTCGGTGGGCCTCGTGTACCTGAGGAGCTCCATGGGCATGTGCCTCTGGTTGGAGATTTAAAATTCCCTCTCGCTGTCAGAAACAAAGACTCTGAGTCTGAGGATGGAAAGCTTGGCCAGGATAACCGCAGGATAACTGGATACCTTTGGCAGATACTTGGTCTTGATTTAAGTATTTGTTTTCCTAGGTTTCACCGACCTTAACAGTCAAATTCCTCTTGAGTGCTATGCTGTCTTCAAAACATAAATTTATAAGAACCATAAGTGCTGGTATTTATTCACTTCCCCATCACAATGTAAATCTTCTGAACTGCCTTTTTTAAAAAGAAGAAGAAAAATAAAAGGAAACACAATCAGGATTCTGTTTGCGAAACGCGATGGCTACTGCTCTGCGGTCAGAGCTGATGGCACAACCACGGACCCCAGATTGCACTCGTCCCTGGCAGCACTGCGAGCACCGGCGGGGCCTCACCGAAGACTCTCTGGCACTCGGAGCAGCCCTGGTCCTCTCCAGCCGGACCCGGCAGGCTCCACGTTCACTTGGGCTCCGGGGACCTCTTCCTCGAAAGTGTCTGTCACCTAAGTCCAAAGAAAGCCAAGGCGGTAGGCGTGGGCTGGGAAGGACTTTGTGAAGCGAATGATCTGGTTGGCCTTCTAGACATGGCCAAACACACTGGCGGCAGGCGTGGCTTCTGGTTTGGGGTCCCCTTAGGAGGAGGATGCTGAGAGGGTGCACTGGCTCAGTTGCCCTGACCTTTCTCCCTCTGGCCACCCTCCATACAGTGAGCAAAAGGGAAGTGCCCTTTTTCTGGGGAAGCCTGTAGTTGGTCAGTCCTAAGGTTGCTTGTGTTCCAGGTGTGCAAGCCTGATGCCAAATGCCTAGTCCATCCCCTCAGACAGGGCTGAGCTGCCTTCCAGGCAGCTCTGGTGTCGAAGGGGAAAGTTGCCATCTGCTCAGTTCAAGTGAACTGACCCATTGTATTCAAAGCCCAATATTCCAGAGGATCTTACGCACACAAGCAGCCATTGCCAGGGTGCGCCTATGGTACCACGCGTGTGAGCATAAGGACCATATTGAGGGCACAAAGGCTGAAGCCTCCCGTGAGAAACTCTGCTTGGCTGAAGAGTGTCATTTTCTCTGTGTGCCCCAGGGCTGGTGACTATGTGGCTTGGAAGTTAATAGCTTCTGAGTATAGGACCAATGCCTGCAGGCCAGAGACCATTCCTAAAAGGCTGGTGTTCCAGTCACTGATGGACTGATCGGTACTCTAGAACCACTTGATGGCCTTCTAGTCTCCTTTCTTTGCACTGAAGAGTCTCTATGGGAAAGCCCCAGGGTTTGGCATACGCCAGAATCATGCAGACACCAGCCACGCCTGCCTTGTGCTGTACCTCCCCGCTCATATTTATCCACAGAGAACCCTTCCTTGTCTTCATGATGCTGGTGAGGGTGATTGGAGATGCATCCCTAACTGTCCCCCTCACTTGGGACCACAGGAAAGCATGCTCTGTTAACCGAGGGTAGCGTGTGCGGTGAGAGGAAGAGCGAGTCCCAAACCCCAACAGCTGTCTTCACGGGGCCCATCGCAGCAGTTTTGTTTTCCCTCCTGCCCGCCTGTAGGGCTCTCCGCTGCCGGGCTCTGCCTGGCCTCCTGCCGTGGCCTCAGAGTTACCATGATCTCTCCAGGGGGTGGTTCGCTCTCCGCCACATAGACCCAGGATGTAGGCGGATGCCAGCTTGGCCTTCACAGCAAAGAGGTAACCAGTCCCCACCTCAGACCGTGTGGGACACAGGTCACTCTTGGTATGTATCAGGGAGGCCACCCACTCTCCGCAGGCATTCCCAGCTCCCACGGCCAGCATTACCGCGGAGCTGTGTACATCTGGGCGGCGCTCCGGGCAGCTCTTCGGGCACTGCCCACCGGCCATTGCAAGGCTGCACGTGCTTTGCTCGCAACACCTGGAGTGAGCACGCTGCCGCCCAGCCCCAGGAGGATGTCACCACTAGACCCCTTTATCTTTGAACGTGGAATCTGAATAGTTACTGACATGGATAGAAGTACTCTTCAGGGAAAATGTGTGTGGTCAGGACTTTAGTGCGGCTGTGAGCACTGTCTTCCCAAAAGGCTTGCTGACGTCTGAATGTGCAAATGATATGACGAAATATGTAGGGCTCTTTCATCTGACTTCTCTTTGGTGGGCACGTGTTCTAGGCAGAGGTGCCTGCCTTTCCAGGAGCTGAGTCTGAGCTTCCTCTAACTCGCAGCTGTGCTTCCGACGGCTCGCAGTGCCCTGGCAGCACGGTCAGGCCTTCCCCCGGCCCAGGAGCCGGTCCGAAGGGAACTCATTCCCTGACCTGGACTCCTCCCACCATGGCCAGTGGCTTCTCTGCTGGCCTGGGCTCTTGGGCCTTTTAGATTCCCTGGGGACTTGTGGCCCAAATCAATTTCCCCGCAGCCAGCCAGCCAGCCAGCCAGCCAGCAGTCCAGGTTTTCCGCCCAAAGTGCCCTACTGTTGCGGTCCACTTTGTTCATGGAAGAAATTGAGCACATGCTCCACTTCTCTTCCTGCAGAGAACCGTTTTCCAGAAGTCACTTGCAGGAGTTAGGGGTGCACCTTCCATGCCACTGAGAGCACCCACCGTGAAGGTGGGCGATTTCAGACCCATTGTTAGTGGCTCAGCAACCTCAGTGGACCACAGATGGTCCCTTGGCCATCTCTTCCCTTTCCTGAAATCTTGAGGTCTTTATAGAAATCTATCCAAATTTCTTTTTTGCCACATTGTTATGATGATTGAAATATGTGTGTTACTTTCCAAGATGACAAATTGACATTAATTGGCTGGCAGTGGGGGGACGGAGAGGAGAGCGATGGCCTAGCAGGTTTACAATGCATTCGTTTTTCTGAAAACGCTGTGTTTCAAGTAAAGTTTTATTATCTGTGTATAAATTTCCAGTTGAGCCTCCTGTCATTTGGATTAGCATGAAAGGAAAAATGTGATATTTCTCCGACCAGAATGTTTCCTTCTGAAAATGAGCCGTTGCCCGACCCCCCGTCGCACCTATGACAGACCAGCGCCGTCACTCAGCCTCTGTGCTCTTTCTAAATTGCTAGGTTCCTCCCCAACGGCCCTCAAAGCCCTGGAAAACTTTTAAAACTTTAGCCTTTATATCAGATTAGAGAAACCAAACGGTGTGATGGTAGACATGGTAAAATCCTCTGAGTTTATTTTTCTCCCGCTTATGAACGTGCATTTATATTTGCTGAATGAAAACCGTGGCGTGTGCTTCGACGAATGGACTCTCCAGCTCTCCCTGTGCACAGCCAGTGTGCGAAGGTCACCTTAAATGAGTTTTTCTCCCCATTTGTCTGTTACTCCCCAAACCGGTCGCTTTTTCCAGTTGCTTCCCGGGTGTCTGTACATAGTTTTTCTTTGTATAGGAGCGCTCTCTCGTGTTCTAATTTAACGGATGACAGCTGTATGAGGAAGACAATGTAAATAGAATACAAATTAAACTGGATCTCTATGGCCTAGGTTTTGTACATACAGAAACTGCATGGTATTTAAATTATTGTTTGTCTCTGATGATGTATGCAGTTTCTTTAAAAACGAATCAAAAAAAATCTAAAAAAATCATTTCTTGCCTTCTGTGTGTTCTTATCAACCACCCAAAACAGCTTGGCTGGGGAAGGGGGTCGGGGGCAGGGGTAGGTCACCTCATTGGCAAAACTGTACAGGTCTTGGAGATACAGGACAATCCCCTGTGTCCGGTATTGATGGGGAAGGAATGATTGTTGCACCGAAGTTAATTTTCTAGATGACATTTGTGTGCCAGGACTTTCTTCTTCCATACATTTGTGTTAAGAATGTCTGAAATGCATTGCCCCACTCTCTGCGCCCCATAGCAATCTGGGAGTGCTGACTGTGTGAGCTAACGTGGTAACTCAGAGCCCTCTAGGTAGCATCAGATACCGACACCTCTCAGCGCAGTGCCTCAGGGCGTGTCACTGCCCCAAGCAAGAGCTTCCTGCCACTGAACTCTCTGCGTGCTGCTGTCTGACTCCTTTCTTCAGAAGGCTGAGTATTTGTCCTGCAAAACAAAGAGCTTTATCACGTAACCTTCTGGTGCTAACTTTTTTTTTTTTTTTTAAGGTTTGGGCGTAACAAGCAGGGCTGCAATGCATTCTGGCTGCACTCGAGGTGGGGGAAATTGCTGATGACAGGTCCTGGGGCCCGCGACATACAATTGTGGCTTTGGGAAAGGGCAACCTCACACAGCATGGCTCTCCTGCACCGTTTCTGGGAATCACCCAGGAGCCTTGTCAAAGTGCAGGTCATGGGGTGGTGCATGCTGATGCCACTAGCCCAGGAATCACTTCCGAGTAGCAAGGGCTTGAGAGAACAATGCAAAGGGAGCTGCTTTTCCATTGCCTGGGAACCTCCAGCCTGGGAAAAGCGGAGTGACCCCATCCACCACTGATGTCTTTGCTGAGAACATCAGCAAAACCCCCTTTAGAAATCAGCCTCCCACCACATTGCATGAGAGCACACCCACAGGGCTCAACTGCGCAGGCTGCGGGATGCTGGCGCAGGGACGGCTGCAGCGGAGAGGGCGAGAGGTTTGCTGAAAGGATTTCAGTTTCGGGCTGAGATTCTCCCTCGTTCTTCCTTCTCCTCACCCGCAGAGCTCTCACTTAATAAATGTATTCATCAGAATTTGACTCCATTTATCCAGGAGAGTGAAAGAGCTAGAAAGAGAAGCTTTGCCAGAACCCCCAGCAGGCTCTGTCTTGCAAGAGGGAACGAAACTGGCCTCTACCCGAGGGGGAGCCCCTTCGGAAGTAGAAGTCATGGCTCCACATTCTCAGGTAGAGGTACTCGGCGTGTCCATCCTTGGACCTGATTACACCATCCTGTGACAGAATTGGTGTCCCTGTAACATTTAACTGGACAATTTTGGCCAAGTCACTTAATTTCTCTGGGCCTCTCTGTCCTTATCTGGAAAACAAGGGCATTGAATTAAATGTCCCCTATTATTGAGGGCATCAACTTTCTAAGACTTGGGTTTATCTGGATTTTTAAAGCACTAAACAGTCCTTAGGAAAGAATAAGCTTGAGGTAAGTCCTGCCAAGGCAGTCTCTCAAAGCACAGTTTGCATTTCTCTCCTTCAGACCTCCTGCGAGTCTGGCACACGTGCCTCCATGCCCTTTCCCTGCAAGCCTTTGTGGAGCTCGTCCTAAAGCTGCCCTCAACCACATGCTCGACTTCATCCTGCCTCTCCCTTCCTCTGGGCAAAGCACCCTATAGGGGGTTGTGGGTCTTGAGCAGTGGTGCTTAAGACAGAGCCTATTGTCTTCTACCACACCCCAAGTTTGAGGGCACCTCAGTAATGTGGTATGTATACCTGCTCATTAAGCCAATAAACAGTTTGATGCCAAAGTGCTTGCTGGCTGGCTCTCCACAGGTCCGAGAGCAATCCTGAGCTCCGAGGGCTCCCTAGCTAAAGCTGTAGCTCAGATCTGCCCTGAGCTCCTGATCGCGGTGTCCAAATGTCACAGAGCAGCAATGCAGCATAGATGTTACACTAAGTGCAGATGGTGCTGAGCCCATGTGCCCTGTGGTCACATGGTGGCTCTATCCCTTACTAGCTGTGTAACTTTGGTCCCCTTGCTTTATCTCACTGTGCCTCAACTTCCTCATCTGTAAAGTGCGAATAATGGCACTTACTTTATAGGGCTGTTAGGAGAAAATAATATCTGTAAGGTGCTTAGCTCAGTGTCTGACATAGAGTCAGGCCCTAGTCAATGTTAGCTCTTAAGCTTCATGTGCACGTTTCTCTCACAGGTGCTCCAAACTCAGTATGTGCTAGACCATTGTTTCCATAACTCCAAACCTCGCCCTTCTGCCCCATCATGTTCCTCTTCTTACTTCCTTTTTCAGGGAACGGCAAAAGAAGTCACCTCCTTTCCATTTCCAGCTAATCATGAACACCTGCCAATTAGCTCTTGATGCTACTCCGTGCTCTTTCATTCACGGTTTCCTCTCCCGTCATGGTCTTCTTGCCTGTGACTTTCGCCTGTCCAATCCTGCTGCCAGACTCCTCGATCCCAGCACAGACTTGCTCACCCCACATTCCTGCTTGATGTCTGCCATGGCCCCCACTGTCCTACCGATAAAATCCCAATCTCCAGTGGGCTTTCCTTAACGTCAGCGCGGCTCCCCCAGCCAGGCCTCCTGCTCTAGGACTCCGGGGCAGGCCTTCGCACTGTGTGCCGCTGATGTCTTTGCTGAGAACATCAACAAAACCCCCTTTAGAAATCAGCCTCCCACCCTGCAAGGGGGCCTGTGATGTGTCTGTGCTGTGGTGATCCCCTCAGGGACAACCAGAGCTGACAAGGGGCTTGGGGACTGAGCACCTAAGCTTCCCTCAGAGTCCTGAGGGAAGTCATGAACAGGTCCATGAGAGACCTCAGTTAAGGGACCCTGGAACTCTAACGAGGAGCCAGGGTACTCATGCCTGCAAAAAATCCTAAATAGCATGGATGAATGGCTGTCCCCTGTGGTACCTGAGGAGTAGCACCCCTGATTTCTAACTCCAGCTCTCTGGGCGCTTGATTCCTGTTGATACCACCACTCACTGCTCCCACATAATAAACACTCACTACATACCTGGCACTGTGCTGTGCCACTTTCACACACGATTTAATTTCATCTTTACGTTCACCTGTGGCTTCCAAACTCGGGTCTGTTTGACTCTAAAGCATTGTTCTTAATCTCCCTGCTAGGCCTCCACCTCTTTGAGTTTATACTTTCTCTGCTTCCATCCAGTTATCCCTGTTGCCCATCTTAAGTGATAATATCACTTTCTGACACGGAGAACCACAGATCAGGAAAGAGACCCAACTCTCGCCAAGCCTCCAGCTTGGAGAAGCTGTTTCCTTCACTCACCCAGCTCCTCCCTCCCCTCCATGCGCTGCCCATCTGTGGGCAGGCTGAGCCTCCCCGCAGGGGGGACCTCCCACAATGAGAGACAGCCAGCCAATATTTATGGCTTCCTGAGAGGGAAATAATGTCACAGGAGGGACCTGCACAGCGTGGGGCCCACCTAGAGCTGCACCAAAGGCAGGAAGACAACAGCACGCTGCCTGATGCCAGAGAGGAAGAGCATCTGACCGCCAGTTGGGCGTGCAGCCAGTTGCATTCCTGTATGCTACTTTTGGTTAAAAAAAAAAAAAGGTTCTGCTCTTTATGTGTCATTAATCAAAAAACGCTCTCCTTATTTCATAATAGCAAGCTACGGTCACCCAATATACTCATGGCGCAACAACCCAGGGTACAGCAAGGCGCCCTTGTTAAATGAATCTGTTTGCAGAAGAGACAGGAAGAGTATGCCACGAAAGCAGAATTGAACTGATTCCTCTCCCAGGCTGGACAGCCAGCGAAGATGCATGCTGCACTGAGCTGGGAATCCAGACACCCATTCCTCTTCTCCCTCATGAGGGATTGAGGCTACATCTCATGTGACTTCAAGGTTGAGCGGTTCAATGATTCTTGCATGGTGATATCACTGTTGTTGTTTCTTTAATAAAAAGCAAGAGACAAATGGTGAAAGGGAGAGAGAAAAATTCTGTCTGTTGCCACTGACACCTTGACAAATGGGGCCCAGGGTCCATGACAGGCCTGTGATTTCAGAGCCCCACCTCATACCCAAAAGAGGGCAAATCCATCTCTTCAGTTATGCAAGTAAAAATACTTGACATACTGGCTGAACTTATCGTCTCAGCAAGTTCCCCCCCAGACTGTACCAGGGTGAAGGGCTCAGTCCCGCATCCCTGTGGCCTGCCCAGCTGCACCACCTGGGGCGCCACGAGCCAGAGCACTTCCGGGCCTGCCTGCTTGGCACCTGAGCCACGCCAAAGTCCTTGGCAACCTCACAAAAGCTCCAGTGTGCTGGCTCTACCAGGCCCTGGGGTTAAAAAGCAAAAATACCTGGCAAGAGGCAAGCCTTATTTACACGAGGCACTGCCTTGCTGTGGGGGTGGTGGCGACACTTTTCCAAGCGAACGTTAAAATGCTTACTGCCACCTGCACCAGCCCCAGCCTTGCTGAGCACCCAGACACGGCAACAAGAGCCCGTTGTTGCGGTTTAACTATCTTGGGTTTTCCTCAATTCTCTCACTGACTTGGTGACAAGAGCCCCAAAATGGGCAGGAAAAAGCTCTATGCTGCCCTTCATTCTTCCTGGAAAAGTGCATGCAATATCATGCTCTCGTTCAGGCTAACAGAAGTGCTTCTGAGCAAGGGAACTCAGGGCTGGAGTGTAAAGAGTCACTGTTCATTGTGAACTCTTGTCCTGGTTGTCTTGTATTCCCACTCACATATCCCTTTTCCATTAAAAATTTTAGTTACAATTTTTCAAAAAAGAATAATTGAAAGTGCACACAGTTGCCTTTAGTCTTACTGAACAAGGACACCTACCTGTGTGTAACATGTCTACTCAGAAAAAAAAATCTAATTTCAATCATATCAAATTTTGAAATCTAGGGGAAAAAAACTCAGGTCACAGTGAGGAACCACAGGCATTTTTCAGA